TTTCAATATATCTCGATGCATTTAATATCTTTCTGATTTTTAAAAGAATATATTTCCTCGATGTTTTACCAAATATATATTTTTCATATTAAGTTTCCTTTATTGCTAAAATATTCCGATAAATTATAATTATAAAATAATTAGAATCAAAATGACATATTAGAATTTAATTATAGACAGCTAGCAAAATTGATGATAATATAATGAACTTTAGATTATAAGAAAAACTTAATTTAGTAATGAATTTCATAAAAAAAAATACAGATATAAAAATTCGTGAATAACTGTTCATATAATATTATTGATAAAGTACAAAGATCTAATATAAAAATAAGAAAGGCAAACTGTATATAGTTCGACAATATATTTTGAACATTGTAAATGTATTAAATTATAACTTAATGTAATGTAATTGAAGTTTATCGTAAGATTTCATAACTTCATACATTTATTATAACAATTCAAATTTATTCTAACATAATAAATAAAAAAATTTGAAACAAAATGTATTTTTATATTCGTTTTTTTTTCTTTCGTTATATTTATAAACGCACATTGGTTTAATTGAAAAATGTTTTAATACACCATTAATGGATGTATATTAATATTAAAAAAAAAAATTGATTAATGCTCTAAGAATTAAGAAATAGAGCAAATTCTCATGACATTAAATTTCTTGCTTGATCCAACTAATATTGTACCTTTTACATTTCCACAAATGCTCGATATTAAATCGTGTCTATTTTACGATTTCTAAGCTCTTCTTCCATTAATAGCAATAAATAATATTCACACTCAAGTGGCAGACATTGTAAGTGAGAATTTTAGCATTAACCGAAGAACATTCGATGCGATAAAATGAATTTAGTACTCGGCTCGTAATGCACTCCGGAAAAATTTGGTCGACCATAACGACCTCGAGCTTTCAGATACTTTTCAACATAAAACTACCGATAACGGGTCGATCTCTTTTACTTAAAATCTATCTGTCTGTCCACAGCATCAAAAGAGCTTGAGGAAAGAGCGTAGATGAACACATTTACAGTTAGTTTCTCCATTCTTTCTTTATTTGTAACTTCAATTGTAAAATAAAAATAATTTATAATGAATTATTATAGTAAAATTATTATATTAAAATCCAAATATATATTTTTTGTTAATAATAAATATATGCAAAATAATCTAAACATTTACTTGGATATGGATAAATTCAGTTAGCAAGATTTTATGGAGTATTTTGTGTAGTCTAAAATTGGCAAAGAAACATATCATTATATACACAAAATGCGGACATTGGCAAGTCGATTGAGTGTAAAATAGGGTGGTGGCGGAGGGGGGGGGGAGGGGGGGGATGAGCTGAAAAAGCCAGCTGTATATATTGTCGCACTAAAGATAAATGTGTTCGTTCATATGCATCGTGTAGGTATGAATTTTCTGAATTTTTAAGCGAATGATGATGGGTGAGCGAACGAGAGGTAGGGATGAAGCCAGATATGTTCACGATTCCTGCAGACCGGAAGTCAGTTAATCCGCTCAAACTTACGTTGCGCAGCTGTACTTACACGCATATTCACGTACCTAAGTATATATATACAAACCCTTAGCCACACATTTTACTACTTTACAGAGAGAAATGTACGTGGGTCTTTGCTTAAACAAATCTATTCAAATATATAGTCGATTATTAATAAGTGAACGTGAATAGTTGCTTAATTTCACGAAGTTCCTACTATTATACAACAAATTCTTCTTATACTTCAAAAAAAAAAAAAAAAAAAAAAACACGATATGTAGAAAATAAAGTGCAATTGTCAATAAGCATATTAAGCCAAAAAAAGAAAATGATGGAAGAATCTTTTATATGTTAATTGCAATCTACCACATTTGAATAAGTGAAACGGCATGTTTTTCCTGACAACTAATAATGCCTCTTCGCTTTCTGGATTTCAATATATTTTTTTTTCTTCTCAATTACTTTCCTTTTCTCTTCTTTATGAAATTCTTACTATATCCAGTTGTCTTTATCTGTGCCCGACTTTCGCGCTCCATTACTTATCTCTCTATATATATCTCTTTCAATTTTCCCATCTCTTATTATATGTTGATAACTTTGCCTCTCGCGCGATGCACAATTTCCTACAAATACTTAATACTTTAGTACTTTAGTCCCTACTCGTACTCCACTGCATTTGTTTTCATTCTACGTTTGTTTATAGTCATGCTGTACCTTACCGTTTTCTTCACCTATCATTCTATTCTTCTCTCTCTCTCTCTCTCTCTCTCTCTCCTCCTTTATACGCCCATCCTTATCTCCCTATCTTTTTCACTCTATCTCTCATTTCCCATTCATTTTTATAACTACGTAAAGCTTTCTTTATATTTGACTCGAATGGCGACACTTTCTGTCTTTTATCACTACATCTCTAGAATGATATTTCTGTTGTACGCCTACACGCATACCAATATTGTGATGCACTCGTTTACTATCCTCCACCTGAAATGAATATACAGACTTCAATACCGACTTGTCAGTATGCGCCTGTGCATACAACATCTACACATAATATACGAATATAACATCGAGTATAGAGATAAAAGACGAAGAGAAAGAGAGGCCATGGAAGTATAATAAAACGTTACGTAGCTCTGCACATACTGACAACTAAATTATAAAGTTGCATAAAATAACAAGATTACCATGAACAAAGCTCACTGAAAATTAAGGTAACGCAAATGTAGGAATCGAGGCAGGAAACCACCTTGCTGCATATATTCATCTCACTCAATCTCCAACTAGTCTCAATAATTCAACCATATTTTAGTATTTCAATTTGTATTTTCATCTCTTTGAACTGTGCGTCCAATCATTTTTCACATACATAATAGCCAATAGCAGCTACATTTCAACTATTAAAATAGCATTTTATTCCGCTGAAAAGGCAAGAGTGCGTTTATCACACTAAATAACTTGGTAAATACATTAGAAATTATCTAATTGTCTGCATTATCGTATTACAACATTAATATAAGCTCGATAAAATTCTTAATTGTCCCATTGCTAATCATATTCGTCGGTTTTACGATTCAGTTTGATGAAAAATTAATTGTATAATTAACGCTCGTCAAGATATAATTTGGGTAAGCATAAATATTACGTTCAAAATATTTTAGCAATAGATTTACAATTACTGATTTCACTCGATAAAATACACTAATCATATTCAATTTATTTAAGTTATTATTTCTAATATATTGTAATGATTGTAAAGCTTTAGTTCAACTGTTTAATGTAATGAGTTAGAATGATTTTAATGATTTTCTAATAGTTAAAATTATTCTTTATTTTATTCATTTGTATTTAATATCGCGATTATTAATAATATAAACTTTTCATATGACATTTAATATCAAATGAATCTAATTATCTAAATTATCTGTAAAACCTGCAGAAGTAGGATTTTTAATAGCTATGAAATAGAATAACTGACAGGAGAATTGATGATTATTGAAGAAAATGTGATTACTGAATCGGAAAATTAATATATACGTCACGTTAGGTAGAGAAAAATCATTAAATCTCTATCACAATATCAATATGATGAATTTTAATTGAAAATTGTGTTCATCGCTAACAATTCCATATATATAATAAGCCTAAAGTCTTTATCGTACATATTTTTGTTTTATCAATTTACTTTAAAATACGGTATTTTTAAAAACTAATTATTGTAGTAAAAAGCAGATATATTTAACAATATGAAATGGATGTAGTCTCGTATATCTACCAATGAATTAAGTTTCTACGTGGACACCTGTAGACGTTCAGGTAAATTTATTATGTATATATGTATTTTACATCGTTAAAATACAGAATAAATTTGCTTTCAAGAATTATGCCGTAGTAAAAGATTAGAATAGAGAGATTTACAACCATCTTGTAGAGTAACATACATTGCGAGATTAAACGAGTGAAAATAATGAGCCGATTTTTTCATACATAGCTGAAAATTTAAATAATAAAATATGAATAAATAATTGAAAATGTAGACAGTTAATTACTTATGAATGTATATAATATATGTGCATATTGGAATGAAATAATGTAAATTAAAATACAACATTTAATATATCATTATATTATAGAATATTTTTATATATTCTAGCTTACGTCATTACACCCTAAAATCATTAATAGAGTGTGGGGTTTAAAACATTTTTTTATAAATATCTCATGTACATGTTTAAGCAGACATTGAGTTAGTTTAAAAGATTAATACTTCTTAACGGTTTAAATTAACAAACCGCAATCTATGCCCAACCATATCTATTACCTCGCAACTAAAATGCTATAAATTTACAAACGCTTTTATACGGATATTCATGAAAAATCTATTGGTATAAGCATCCGAAGTTGCAGCATCAGGAGATTTTTGTCCGTCGGTGAGAACATGGAAAGCTGGCGTTACGCCATGCAAACAAATATTGCCAATAATCTGCCAATCCAATTTAGCTACGCAGAAAATATTGATCTCTCAATTCTCAATTTGCTCTTAACATTGTTTTTTTTTTTTTTTTTTACACAACTCTTGCTTCCCATGTAATATATTCTTAAAAGAGCTAATCCTAATATATTTGTATTTTCACATCTTATGCCATATTTCATTGTCCTTCATTCCAAATTTATTTCTTTATAAAAAAAAATCAATTGCAATCTAAACACCCCGTTATGCCAAAAATTCTTGTAATCAGTCATAAGTTCGTAGACGAACGATGTCTATTACCTTTCAAGCAATACTCGATCAAATATTTTTTTTTTTCCAATCCCACTCCCGTACACATACAGCCACGCATTAATATAAAACCAATCCCCGCTCGGCGAATAATAATTGGTCTCGTGAACCGCTTGGCAAATTGAATATTAACCGACCCATCGTTAATCGAACAAAGCAATCACGTAACAATTAACCTTAACCATACGAATATTCGCTTTATTGCTACAGGTGTCGTGGATGAGAAAGAGAGATATGCACATCCTGAGCGCAGGCATCCTCATGTATACCTCAGACCTGAGGTTTCAGGTCATCCATCCAGACAAGTCCGAGAATTGGACGCTACAGATCAAATCACCGCAGCAGCGAGACTCTGGTGTTTACGAATGCCAGGTCAGCACTGAGCCCAAGATGTCCCTCAACTACAGCCTCAACGTGGTCGGTGAGTGCATCCTGAATTATTCAAGCACATCCAACACCCATCGTGACCCATCTTCAACCTATTCTACTTTCGTCCAGTAGCAGCCATCTGTTTGCATTGCCCCTTCCCGCTCGTACGCTCGCCCTTATTCAGCCATTTTATCGCTTTATCTCATTCGTTCACTCTCTCGATTTCGATCTCTTCTAAATTTTCTCATCATCGGCGTATTGGGAAGGTAAGTTTACACTTCGATCCATCGTCTTAATTTTTTTTGGAAAAAAAAAAACATCACTCTGATGAAGTAACATCCAACTTATTTGAAAACCGTACTCAGAACAACATTGATACTTAAATATACAATTATTATGCAAGATATGCATTATTATATAATTCTAATATATTTAAGAGTATCATTGTCGTTTACGAGTTGTTTATGTCCTTGTCATTTTCAAATGTTTCTTACCTCGTGTCAGTCAGTAAGATATAAATTAAAGTCTCTCTCGGACTTCGTATGTTCTAATCAATATAATGAATTTATAATTTCAAGTATATTAAGAGCTCGATATAAAATAAAATATATTTCTTGTTAATATGTCCATTAAAATTATTTAAGAATAATTAAAATTGATATTCTATTGTACAATTGTCAATAATTAACTCGGAATAGAAAGAATAAAAAATTTTGATAATGGAACGGAACGACTTTAATTTATATATTAAATTCAAATGAAATTGCTCATTTTCAAATATTTCCATGTTCATAATAATTATAATTTTCTTTAAATAATCTATTAAATAATAATATTTAGTATTATCGTTTTGTTGTTAGTTATATTATTTTTTTATTATTATTTTACGACAAAAATGTAATGACTGTAATATCTTCAAAATATTTTGATTGCAATGTTTCAAATAAACTAAAAGATCTTAATTTTTATACGAAATGGAGAATATCAAGTTAGCTCAAATTTAAATATCAATATAATTCATATAACTACTTTTAAATAAATTATTGCACTCCGTTTGATCTATAAGATATGGTAATCACAATCATTCATTATAGTTATATAATTCTTAATTATGTCACAGATATTTATTGTGGCGTTTTAATTTTAATTACAAATATATTAATAGGTGTAGCATTATAATGTACTTATTTATTGAGATTTCATGTATTCGTTTTATAATAATTTTTTAATAATCAATAAATGTAGTATTTATATATATATATATATATATATATATACATGAATAAATTATAATTGAGGAAATATATTATATAACAGCGCAATTTCATTCCAAGAATCATCCTATATGTTAGACACTTCATATAATTTTGAAAGGGATTTCTCCTGTAAGAGACGGAGCTGAAATTCAATTATATTCATTGTCTTTTTTTTAATTATCTTTTTCTGCACATTTCGATTATTCATTCGATAATATATCATTAGAATTTTATTATACAATTTTATTTGCACACACATGTACATTAATACATTAAAAACAAATTAATTTCTTATTATTATTATATATTAATAGTAAAGTACAATATATATTAGTAGTATAATTTATATGAACTTTATTAAGTAAAGCTTGGAGTAAAAATTCAACTATTGTTAATATATATGATTACATATAAAAAAAAGAAAAAAGTTTTAAACCTTAAATATAGTTTTTTAATTAATATCGTAAAGAAATATTATATCATTGTAAAGTTTTATGATCCAACTATCGATACGTAAACAATCATAAAATTAAAAAATTAAATTAAAATTCTTATGTATTTCAAATCTCTAGTGTATTTATACTACAAATCTTTAATTATATAGACAAATAAATATTTTTCCATATTTTTTTCTTCCTTCCGTTGTAAAATAATTCTATTTAATTTAATGAAACATAATCTATTCTATTTAAAAATGATAGCTTTCAATATATAAACATAAATAATTTAGTTTATTGAAATACTATGCAACATTCATTGTTAATTAATTATAGATATTTACCTTTAAAGATAAATATGTTGTTTTGCATTAAATTGCTTAAACGATTAACGTAATTATTATTTAATTTTAAAAATATATGCAATTCAAAGTATTGGCACTACATGCGTCATCATTATTAAAATTATTATTATTAAATGATAAATATTTTGAAAATGTTAAAAAAATATATTATATTCGCTATAATTGTATGAATAATGTAAATGTATAAAAATAATATAAAAATGTTAATAATATGAAGAACCAACAAAATATATTAAAATTTCATTTTCATAATTCATATTACTATATACCATTAGCATAATAGATTAATCAATGTTTTTCAATTAAGCAAATTCTTATCTGTTAAAGGGCAATAATTTATATGAACCTGCTTCATATATATGTGTCCTATAATAAATACTTAATACGTACAATATTATCTAGTAACAACAGTTTCTGATTTGTATACAATTTCTAATCTCCAAGTTGTAAATTAAATTCTATAGGACTATCCATTTATTCTTACCTTAATCGTAAATGTAATTTAACTTTTAATTTTTGATATTTCTTGGCATAATGTAAGCATATATATAATATAAGATTCTATAATTAATTATTGTTTTTATATTAGAATGATATTTAATATTATTCATTTCCTTGAATATATTCTAAAATTATACGAGATTTTAGAGAAATTTATTATATTTTTATTTTGTTTTATGATTATAATTTTTTACAGTGATATTTGCATTACAGTAACATGATATTTATACAAGTTTATAATGACATAAAATATAAAGATATTATTATCTCATAAAAAATTTTAGGGTATATATAATTTCTTCAATAATTTTATTAGCATTTTAATTAAAAATATGTTATAAAAAGTATAATTGAAAAACACATACTTGTACATTCAAATGATAATCGTGTGCCATTAAAATATATTTATTGGAAGCAGAATAAATGAACATACAAAATATTAAGTTCCTTTATCAGAAAATATGGAAAACGCTGTACGGTTTTATGCTTCTGGTAATAAGCGAATTATTATTATTTACTTAAATTTACTTTATTTTTCTTCTAAATACTACTTAAAATTTACTATTATTACTGTTTAGAATGAAGAATCCAATGTAAAGTTAATATAAGAAAAGTTATATTCTATTCTTTTGTAATAAATGTATTATTACATTTCGTAAGAATTTCTTTGTTAAAGTACAACTAAAACAATCTATGAATGTGATCCGGAGATTCTTAATTTTTATAGAAAATAGTACAAAAGAAGAACATCCTGGCTAGTTGGTGTCCTAGATATAAGTTTAAAGGCGTAAGAATTTATTGCACATAGAATTAACATTTACCGCTGGTTCCAAGTTATTCGATTTCATCATTACATGAAATATGCATCACGATCATCTACATTTGCCGTATACTGTTCGTGAAGTTTTAAGATATTAATTTATTCATGCAGAACTTTCATTATCAATCAACAAGAAAAGTTTTACAAAATTACAAAAAGTATTTGTAATCGTAAAGATCCATTAAAATTTAATCTAAAAATAACACACATTTTGCATGTCAAACATGTATGTTACAATTAATAAAAATCGAATATATCATAAAAAATAATAAATAATTAATAATTAAAACTAGTCATTAGGATTTTGATTTTATTATATTATATTATTAATATAATTATAATGAATTGAAAATTATTTCATGTACTAATGACTATACAAAATTACCAACTATCACGTATAATATTATTTAAATAATTATATTAGAAATAAAGCCGCTGATCGTATTAATAAAAATTTCTATGAAAAATTGTCTATCAATTTTTAATATGTCAACTAATTTAGAAAAGACAAAAGTCCTAAGCGCAAAAAACACATGAAATATGAAAATTAAATAAAACTCTATAGACATTTCCTTAATGATCTACCAACTGGACTTGCCAATAAAGCTTTCATAAGCCAAACTTGACTTATAGGCTGAGAAAGTACAAATTCCTTGTTCGTATACTCTAATTAACAGCTTTCCAGCCACTTGCGGGAAACATTTATAATACACTGTCCTTGAATATAACCACCAGCCAAGTAAATCTCCCGCAACTCCTTCCTCCCGATTGTATACGCTACCCCCATCCATTAATATATTCAATCCTAAATGCAAAATGTCCGAATTTGCAAAACTCAGTTATAGGTTTTTCAATGTATTATATATACATTATCAAATGTTTACCTATTCATGTACATTTCACTTCACTTATATCTTCATATTATAAATTCGATTTTAATATAATGCTTATTCAAATTTAATGTAAATTATCAATTTAAGTCGAATATTTATATTATGAAAATTATATTATACACTCAATTAGATTGCATATTTATTAACTCCCATTCTCTTTTCTCTAACTGTATTATATTTTATACATAGATTTAATTGTATTGGAGCTCATCATATAGATTAAAATTAAAAATTTCATTCAGCAAGTAAACTTAAATATATATCGTATTTTAAAATATTTTGAAACCGTGCTTAAACAACATTCAAATTAAAGAAATAAATCTTTTATAAATACAATGCGATTTATATTAATATAGTTTATGACTTGTGTATCGACATTCCCTTCAAGCATTCTTTGCAATTTTTATAATTTTCAATAAAGACGCTCGCATGCAATATTAATGAATAATAATAATAAACTCAAAGATACCTATGTGCTCAAATTGCTTATTAGAGTATCGATAAAATATTGATTATCGCTGTTACCGGCTGCTTATATAGTATTTTATAATTGTTATAAACTAAACTAACATCATACACTAAAGCAAATGAAATAAATGAATGAAGGCAAAATAGAAAAAAAGAACTCATTCTCGCTATTACTATGTATACTTATTTAATGACAAAATTGAGCAAAGCTGCAACTCAGCAAGTAAGATGATTCATTGTAGTTGGGTTTTGCTGAGAATATCTTCACGATTTATCACTTGAGTCCGTCCTCACCTAAAACGTTTTTTCCCT